GCTGTTGGAAAATGTTGGAGTCTTTAAATCCTCTAAATAAAATGTGATGTTCTACATTTAAACATCTGATATTTAGATATAATCTAACAAACAATCCTCCCGCGGCCTCCGCGTGTCCGCTCCTCTCTCTTATGATTATTTCCACATGAACTGTGCGTGTTTGTGTTTCTGCTGCACTTTGTTCTGTTCACGTTCATTCTGCAGCAACAACAAACCTTCCTGCTCGACGCACGGACGCGGAGCCGTGTTTTCCTCCCCGGCGCTTAGTTTACGCACATTTTACGCGCGGAGACTCCGCTGTGGATGAAGCGCGCGTGGCCTCCCTGCGCCGTGCACCGTCACCTCCGCGTGTCCTGACCGTGTCCGCGCGCCCCCGGATCCGCGCTCCTGTTTATTTCCGGGTGTGAACGATGTAAACAACCTGAGACACGAAAAAACATCCGAGTAAATATGAGTGTGTGTGTGTGTGTGTGTGTGTGTGTGTGTGTGTGTGTGTGTGTGTGTGTGTGTGTGTTCCACGCTGTAAAAAGTGTCCTTCACGCAGAAATAGAAAAATCAGATTTTCTTTTTAAAACGCGTGAATAAAAAATCTAAAGTAGAAAATCAGAACATTCATTTGTTCCGTCAGATGTTTTTAAATGTTTGTGAAGTAGAAAGATTATTTTTTTAATTTCCGTGGATCCGGTTGAGAAACGAGATCAAATCCACGCTGTGAGATTTTCACGCTTGTTTCAGAGAAATAAAGATTTGATGATAATTCCGTGAAGCTGCGAACAGACTCGTGCGTGCGGGCACTTTTTGCAGCGTGCGCGTTGGTCGGTGGATGTGTGTGTTTCCTCTGCGCGTCATGATTGGCTGAGAGCGCAGAGGACGCCTTAATATTTAATCCTAATGTCCCCCTGGTTGGCTGAGGACTGGAAACGTCCAACCAATGTTTGCGAGTCGCTTTAGTGGCTGCGGCTCCTAATTAATTGCAGCTATCTGTCTCCTATCGATGTGTGTGTACGTGTGTGTTGTGTGTGTGTGTTTCCTCTTTTCTCCCCAAACCGAACATGAAATAGTTTGTTGGGCTTCACTTTCCTTCCTCCTCTCCGTCCCCCCTTCCTTCCTCCCCGTCCTGGTTCGCAGGCAGACGCAGGACAGATTGAACCCCAGCTGTGTGCGTCGCTTTCGGTCGTTGCCATTTCCCCCCTCCACTGCCCGGTGATGTTGGATATGGGAGAACGCAAAGAGGTGAAAATGATTCCGAAGTCCTCGTTCAGTATAAACAGTTTGGTGCCCGAGGCCGTGCAGAGCGACAACAACAACCACCAGAACCAGCACCACCACCAGAACCAGCACCACCTCCACAGCCACCAGAACCACCTCCACCACCGGCCCGGCGGCGCAGACGAGCCCGAGCAGAAATCTCCTCTCCCGGCCGCGCAGCAGGAGCCAAAGACGGACCCTAAAAGTGACGCGTCGGGTCAGGAGAGCTGCCCGGAGGAGAAGGAGAAGTCGGAGGAGAAGAAGGACGCGAAGGACGCGGACGGAGGCGCCGGAGCGAAGGACGGAGACAAGAAAAGCGGCAAGTACGAAAAACCTCCGTTCAGCTACAACGCGCTGATCATGATGGCCATCAGACAGAGCCCCGAGAAGAGGCTCACCCTCAACGGCATCTACGAGTTCATCATGAAGAACTTCCCGTACTACCGGGAGAACAAGCAGGGCTGGCAGAACTCCATCCGCCACAACCTCAGCCTCAATAAGTGCTTCGTCAAGGTGCCCAGACACTACGACGACCCGGGGAAGGGCAACTACTGGATGCTGGACCCCAGCAGCGACGACGTGTTCATCGGCGGAACCACCGRGAAGCTCCGGCGGAGGTCCACCACGTCCCGGGCCAAGCTGGCCTTCAAGCGGGGAGCGCGGCTGACCTCCGGCCTGACCTTCATGGACCGGGCCGGGTCCCTGTACTGGCCCATGTCCCCCTTCCTGTCCCTGCACCACCCGCGGGCCGGCGGCGCCCTGGGCTACAACGGGACCTCCTCAGGTTACCCGGCTCACCCCATGTCCTACAGCACCATGCTCACCCAGAACATGGGCAACAACCACTCCTCGTTCCCGTCGTCCAACGGGCTCAGCATGGACCGGCTGGTCGGCGGGGATCTCCCCTACGCGACTCACCACCTGACGGCTGCGGCCCTGGCGGCCTCGGCGGTGCCCTGCGGCCTCTCCGTGCCCTGCTCCGGGGCCACTTACTCCCTGAACCCGTGCTCGGTCAACCTGCTGGCCGGGCAGACCAGTTACTTTTTCCCCCACGTCCCGCACCCTTCCATGACCACACAGACCGGCGGCGGCTCTTTGCAAGCCGCCCGGGCTTCGGCCTCCAATTCCCCGCAGGCTCCGTCCTCCTCCTCGCTGCCCTGTGACTCTCTGAGGCCGGCTCTGTCCGGATCTCTGCCGGCCTTCTCCTCGGGACTTTCCGGGAGTTTGTCTGACTATTTCACGCATCAGAACCAGGGCTCGACCTCCAACCCGCTTATACACTAACACCCCCAAACCCTCACCCAGCCTCACCCCTCCACCCCCCTCCACCCTCTCATTCCGGCCTGAAGGAGAGAAAATCTGAACTTGACTGGAACTGTAAGTTGAACATTTGACACTGAACACTGACGATGTAAAAAATAAATATAAACTACCTGCTGTAGAAAAGAGGAGAGAACAAAAAGAGCAGCAGAGGGAGGGAGAGAGAAAACAGCCCTGAAGCCTCCAGGTATTTTTTAATATTATCTTCTTCTCCTCTTCCTCCTCTTCCTCCTGCAGGTCTGTGTACATACATGTTCTCAGTGTCTGTACAGTTGTGTGTGATCTGACATGAAAACCCAGAGGATGCTGGGAGCTGTAGGCTGATGATGATCTTCTCTTCTTCTCGTTGGAGGATTAACTTTTTCTAGAATGTGTATTTAAAATAGTTTGTCTAATTTTAAGATTTAAAAAAATACTACTACTATCTTGTGATGTCCGCATGTTCGCAGTATTATCAGGTCTCATGCGGCGCGGAATGATTTTATTTTACAAAATTCAAACACTAATTTTTTTATTTTAGATTTGTATCGTCTTCACAGTGAAATGTGTTTTTTAAAACAGGAAGTGAAGCGACTCCCGTTAATGTCCCGAGGCTGTTTCTCTCCTTCACAAGTGTCCATGTGTTTTTTAGACCAAAGACTCGGTTCTTTTAGGAAACGTAGGATCAGTGTTGAGCCGCGGAGCAGGACGGAGGCCTGGTGCCGGGCTGCAGCGGAGCGTGACGCACAAAATGTCCATTTAAACGAGATTTAATTTAAATTGTTCCGTTTGGTTAAATGCGCAGAAAAGTGTCTGGGGTTTGGTGCCAGGTTGTGTCTGCGGCGCTGATTCGATCCGCCTGGTTCCTCTAACATCACATGTTTGAAACTGTTGCTAGAAAAAGACGTGAAACCGAATCATTGGGTTTGAAAAGTCCGCAGTTGAATGTCTGGATGTTTTCCGCAGCTGACGAGGTTTCTGCCCTTAAAGAAACACGCGGACGGTCCCGCTCCTCCTTTCGTTGGGTTTTTGTATAATCACAGAGAGAACGTGTCTATTTGTCTGAATTTGGTTTCAACGTTTTTAAGAACAATGTAAAAACCCGTTTGTTTGACAGAAGAAAAAAAAGCCTCATTATCTGATATGATTGTCCTTTAATTGTCGTCTCTAAAAGAATTTTCATGGTTGTGATTCTATTGTGGTCTGATTCGTATTCACGTGTTTGTCGCTTATAAAAGTCAAAAAGAGAAAAAAATGTTTTAATCATAAAAAATAAAAGAATAGGTTACATTCATAACTAAAGGAAATCCCTTTGTCTTCTTTGCTCCTGACCCGCGTCTTCACTCACTTCACCACCAGCTCATGATTCTGATTCCACACGAGTCCAAACTTTATTTCTTTATTTCCTGCGCTTTAGATTCAATGTGTTTTTACTGCGCAGGATGATTTTTATTCTTTTCATCAAACATCAGATAAAGTTCAGCTCTGACGCGTCTGGAGACAAAAACTGAGAAACTTTGAAGCTTTGGCTCTGAAATGATCCTCTTCTGGAACTGTGTCTCCTCAGTGTGTCCTCTCCGTGTCCCCTCCGTGTCTCCTCTGTGTCCCGAATCTGTTTTTATTTATTTTGTTGTTTGTCTTTACGCGCACACGGTGGAAAACGCGCCGCTGCCACCCGTGCGTAAAGCTTTTACGCATAAACATTTCTGCGCACAGGCGTCTGGGTGGAAAACTGTGTGAAGTGATGCGAGCAGAGGTCGCGCTCAGGCTGCTCCGGTGAAATGTGACGCGCTGCGGCCTCCACACGCGCACACGCGCACACACGCTCCAACATTTTAACTTTGAAACGTCTCGATTTTACAGATTTGTCTAAAGCGTCAGCTCGTGTTCAAGAAAAGTCCGATTCCTGTGAATCTGCAGCGTTTTTCTTCGAAGCTTCAGTAAAATCTGCAGAATTCTCAATGAGCCTCGTCTTGAATCTGATGTTCGGATTCTGCGGGAGTTTGTGGTTTCTGGTGTTTTTGTCTCTTTGGGCTTTGACTCGTTGGTTTTTCTACTTCGAGCCTGAAACTGATGGATTTCAGTTTTTAAACTGAAGAAGCTGAAACTTTAAAGTTTCTGCTGCTGTTCAGTGAAGTTTTCTCTGATTAAAGCAGGTTTGGTTTGACAGGGTGTGTGTGTCTGTGTGTGTGTGTGTGTGTCTCTGTGTGTGTGTGTGTGTGTGTGTCTGTGTGTTTCTCTGTGTGTGTGTGTGTGTGTCTCTGTGTGTGTGTGTGTGTGTGTGTCGCTGCTGCTGCTTCAGATGTTTTCGCTCTGAAAGTTTTTATTTCGTTTATTTCTGAGGATCAATTTGTTTCTGTTGTTTTGTTTCCTGCAGATTTCAAATCATCGAAACTCAGTTTTCTCTCGATCTGTGTTTGTATTTTCAGATTCTGTTGAAAATGATGAATCTGTTGTGTGTGTGTGTGTGTGTGTGTCTGTGTGTGTGTGTGTGTGAAGGTTTTAAATGTGAACCTTTAATCTGCAGGTTAACTTTCTTCCTCTTTGTTTGTTTGTTTGTGTGTTTCCGGTGTTTTGTTCAGTTTCCTCCTCGTTGTTACCGGATATAAATACGAACACATGCAGTTTCACGTGTTTTCTGGAAAAACAGCTCAGGTCGCTTCTCTTCTTTTTCTGGATAAATTCATTTTCGCCTAAATTCACTAAATTTGTTCTTTGTGGAAATGAATTTATTTCATCGAACCTGTTTTTATTGGAACAATTTAAAAATCCTCAGAGTTTGATTCACCGCTGGAGGTCAAAGGTCGAACCTTCTTCTTCTGTGTTTTCTATCTGAGAGAAATTTATTTTATCAAGCTTTGACTTTTTCTTACATCGAAAAACTGAACTGAGGAAACGATGTTTGATTTAAGTTATTTTCAATAATATTGGATTGTTGTTATTTCCAGTTTCTTGAGTTCAATCCTGGTTTTTACGTCTTTTATCATTTCGTTCAAACTGAATTCATTTTCACGGCAGCAGAAAAGATCCCGTTCTCTTTCCCATGATGCTCTGAGCTTTTTGCGTCACAGGAAACAAACTCAGATTTCAGTTTTTGTGTCTTGATATTTTAAATCAACATTTTATTTCCAGGAGGATTTTTTAAGATGATGGTTTAAATAAAATTACATTTGCAGCTTCGGTCAAAGA